TATTTCTATACCCCAACCTATGTAGGCAAGTTAGGAGATGGATCCTTTGAGAATTTCAAGGGAAGGGAGGCATTAATCAGATTCCCTGGTCATCTGAGGAGTACAAACAGCATTCAATTACCTATGTCAAAGAATTCTCTTTAAATGTTTTCACAAGTATATTCTACATGGCTCTGGAAATAAAATAACTAAATATATTGCATCTAGAGTAACAATAATTGAAATGGTGTGAATCGCCCCAAAAAGGAATATTATGAAAAGAATGAATAGCCTTTAATTTAATCCTCCTATAGAAAAGAATGTTCTATTTTATAATAAAGAAAAGATACAAAAATGCCACCTACCTGTGACATCATACATCAAAACCAATCTTAACTGAATTAAAGATTTAGTTATTTAAAAGAGGAAAGTAAATCATGGTAAAATTAGCAAAGGAAAATATATATTTATAAACTTCCTGGAGGGAGGAAAGTCAAAAGTAAAAAATGGGTCAATTGAGGGGCTTCCCTGGTGGCGCAGTGGTTGAGAATCTGTCTGCTAATGCAGAGGACACGGGTTCAAGCCCTGGTCTGGGAAGATCCCACATGCCGCGGAGCAACTGGGCCCGTGAGCCACAACTACTGAGCTTGCGTGTCTGGAGCCTGTGCTCTGCAGCAAGAGAGGCCGCGACAGTGAGAGGCCTGCGCACCGTGATGGAAGAGTGGCCCCCACTTGCCACAACTAGAGAAAGCCCTCACACAGAAACGAAGACCCAACACAGCCAAAATAAATAAATTTATTTTTTTTTAAAAAAGGGTCAGTTGGGCTTCCCTGGTGGCACAGTGGTTGAGAGTCGGCCTGCCGATGCAGGGGACGTGGGTTCGTGCCCCGGTCCGGGAAGATCCCACATGCCGCGGAGCGTCGGGGCCCGTGAGCCATGGCCGCTGAGCCTGCGCGAATGGGAAAGGCCACAACAGTGAGAGGCCCGCGTACCGCAAAAAAAAAAAAAAAAAAAAAAAAGGTCAGCAAGGCTGTGTTCCTTCTAGAAGCTCTAGGAGGAAATCTGTCTTCTCGCTCTTTCCTGCTTCTAGAGGCCTCCTGCATTCCTTGGCTTATGGCCCCATTCTCCATCTTCAAAGCCAGCAGTGCAGTAACATCTTCTGATCTCTCTCTCCCCCTCCCTCTCTCTATCTCTATCTCTGTCTATCTCCATCTCCATCTCTATCTCTCACCCCTGCTCTGCTTTTGTCATCATATCTCCTTCTCTGACTCTGACCTTCCTACCTCCCTCTTATAAGGGCCCTTGTGATTACATTGGGCCCACCTGGATAATTGAGGACTATCTCCTCACCTGAAGATCCTTAGTCTAATGACATCTGCAAAGTCCCTGTGCCATATAAGGTGACATATCCACAGGTTCCAGACATTAGGCTGTGGACATCTTTTGGAGGACATTATTCTGACTACCACAGTTGCATAGAGCTATCCTGACAAAAATGGGTGTGTTGTGGAGGCCAGACTCCCTGACGGCTGGGAGGGACCTTAGTGTGACTGCGCTGCATTTCTGGAGCCACCTCTTTCAATGTATAACACCACTTGCCAAGTGGGGGCAAAGTCATTCTGATCAGCTTTGTTGGTAGAATCTTGCTTTGAGGAGCTATTAGCTCTGTTGGGCTCACCAGGAACTCATTATCATCACAATAAAGTCCCCTCCACCGCCACCCATCACAAGAGGGAAGGAATCCTCAGACAAGACACTGAACACTATAAACAGTAAAGGGAAAGATTGAAACATATGACTACATTAAAATTTTAAACTTTTGAATGATGAGATACCATTAACAAAGTAAATCGACAAACCACAGAAAGAAGACCTAACTAACGCAAGATCAGTATCCAGAATATGTAAACAACTCCTATGGCTCAATAAGAAAAACATAAATAAACCCGTTAGAAAAATGGTCTGGAAATATCAACAGGCAGAAACCTGGATAGCCTGTAAGAAAAGATGCTCAATATCACTAAATTCAAGAAAGTTAAAACTAAAACAACAAAGATATCATTTCACACCTATTGTCATAAGCAAAAATAAATGAATAAAGTCTGAAAATATCAAAAGTTGGCAAAGATATCTAGAAATGGTACTTATACATTGCTGGCAGAAGTATGTATTAACAATTCAATCTGGCTATAAACCTCCTAAAGCTCAAGATGTGATATACTACAGTCATCAGTTCCACTCTTAAGTGTGTATTCTAGAAAAGTATGACATGTATACACAAGGAGGTATGTACCAATGTGTTCAGTGTAGCACTCCTTGTAATAGAAGTCTAAGTGTTCCTTAGTACAGATAACATAAACTGTGACTGATTCATACAATAAAATACTATGCAGCCAAAAAAATGCATAATTTAGAGCAGTAGTTCTCAAACGTTAGGGTGCATCAGAATCACCAGAAGTGTTTGGCAAAGGGCAAATTGCTGGATCCTATCCCTAGAGTTTCTGATTCAATGGATCTTGGGTGGAGCCAATTTTTTGCATTTCTAACAAGTTCTCAATGTTACTACTGCTGCTTGCTGGTCTAGGGACCACACTTTAAGAACCACTAAACTAGCTATATGTTTCAACACAGTTAAATCTTGAAAACCTAGTCCAGTTTCCAGCAAGTTGTGAAAAGATACATAATATATCTCTAAACACAGTAAACAATAGCATACAGATTATGGATATATATTTTTTCTTTATAATAAAAATACAAAATATACCTGAAAATGTATAGAGAGTGATTATCTCTAGAAGAGAGGGGAAGGAAATGGAAGGAGAATCTTAGTAGTGAGTAGAAAGGTATGCGTTATATTATTTTATGTAGTTTAACGTATGTTTGAAATGTTAAGGAATTTTTAAAGTTTAAATTATATAGTATCAGAACAGAATAGAGAACCCAGAAATAAAAATAAAATTTTAAAAATATATAGTATCTATCACATAGAATTGTTGTGAAGAGTAAATGAGATAATGTGAAACTTCTGGGTGGGTAAAGATAGCAAGATGCAGTGGAGTCACAGAATCTCTGTCCTTGTGTATCTAACCAAAAAGTAATAATAAAAAATTAAGTTAAAGGATACCCCCCAAAATTAAGAGAATTCAACCAAACAATGAAAAGGGTACAATTTGGACTTTCCTGGCGGCGCAGTGGTTAAGAATCCGCCTGCCAATGCAGGGGAGACGGGTCTGAGCCCTGCTCCGGGTAGACCCCACATGCCGTGGAGCAACTAAGCCTGTGTGCCACGACTACTGAAGCCCGTGCTCAACAAGAGAATCCACCGCAATGAGAAGCATGTGCACCGCAAAGAAGAGTAGCTCCTGCTCGCCGCAACTAGAGAAAGCCCGCGAGCAGCAACAAAGACCCAGTGCAGCCAAAAATAAATAAATAAAAAATTTTTAAAAGAAAAGGGTAAAACTTTATGGCATAAACATCAAAAAGGGGTAATCAAGGAAAGAAACAGAAGATTCTAAACTGAGTCAGTGTGGTTTTTAACCTGACCAGAAAAGGATATCAGGAAAGCAGGTGAATCCACAAAATCCTGAGCCTTCTCACCTAGAGTGAGTGAACAACCTGGGATAAAGGGGAAATTCCTGGGAGTAGAAGTCCCTATCTGCCTTCAGAACCTCTCAGTGGAGGCGGAAAAAAACACACAGCTTCCATTTTCCCAGGTGCCATGATGAATTATGGGAAGGATCTGAAGGCCAAACATGTCTGCTCATAGGCATCAGACACACCCTGTACTATTCACAAGGAGAAAAACTAGACAAAAGAGTGGATCCCTATTTCTTTCCTTCAGTTATTTTTGTTTGTACACAAGTGTGATTATTCGCCTAATTCTATCTCTCCACTGCACAGCATCTCCAAGATAGCAGGGATGGGTCTGCCTTTGCTTATGATAGTGCCTAGCAAGTTGGTGTATAATAAATCATAGGGCCACCTAGTAGGTGTATAATAAACATTCAGTGAATAAATTAGTGAAGGAGGGAGCACATGAGTTGGTGTCAAAGAAATCTGATTTCCCATAGTGTTCAAATTTCACAGCCACCGTTTCTATTTTGCATGAACTATTCACAAGGAGAAAAACTAGACCCCATGGGGTCTGGGGCATTTCCTAACTGATAAAAAAGCCTACCTGATTCACATAGCCATCGGTGTGATTAATAGAGTGTATTTACAATTGTGTGAGCAAATTCTATTCCCTGTGACAAATATATTTACAGATTAAATGAACAATACCACATTTTACATGCTTCACGGTCAACAACTACATTCTGGGAAATTTCTTTTTGACACTGAATGAATATTCCAGAAAGAAAAAAATAATTCAAAAAGAATTTGTGATTTTATCACCAGAATCCTTTTGCCTCTTGTTAGTGAAACTAATAGGACACACAGCCTCTTTAAATGTAATTTTAAATAAAACATTTTCTCTACCTCTCTGCTCTCTTTGTTCCTTGTGATCCGCAGATTACGGGAATACATATACTAGTCTCCAATACACACATCTATAGGTGTTGAGTTTTATGCAAGACGAAATCAAGGTATTCTAGGATTTAAATGATCTATTTCCACAGTTAGAGAGGAAAGAAAGTACTCTGAACATCAGAAGAAAGGCGAAGCCCTTTAGGGGGAGGGGACCAGGACTGGGACCCATCCTCGGCCGGGGACGCCGTTACTAGGCAACCCCTCGCGTTCTCAACCACCGCCCGAGCCACTTCCAAGCCCTCATTGCTAAGGAGATCGACGCTCCAACTCAGCCCTGCCGCAAACCTGCGCGCTCTTGCGACATTGCCGCGCCTGCCGCTGCGTGCGCGCCC